GGAGGAATAACCCAGCTCTGGTGGCCTCATGGGTAATGAGTTGTGCTGTGAACCCAAAAGCAAAATCCACCAGCTGCTCCGCAGGAGAAAGATGGACAGTTTCCGTCCACGTGATACAGCCTCTGAAAACCCCCTAGAGGATAAGCTATGAGTAAGTTCCAGCTTGTTGGCAGAGAGAGACACAGAGAGAACTCAATGCATAAAAGTTCAAAAAATAAACAAACAAAGCTAAAGCCATTGGGAGATTCCCCTCATAGTGCTTTCAACTGGGTTTCTGAGGCTGTGAATCTTTATGGGAGGAAATTGCCCGTCTTTCTTCCTCAGAGCAGCTGATGGATTCAAACTATGAACCTTTCTGTTAGCAGCCCAATTGTTAACCTACCACGCCACCAAGGCTCCTATAGTCAGTGTCAGATAAAACACCCACATGCATGCTACAGGGGTTCAGGAATGGGAGAGAGGTTGCTGGGGACCATGATAGTCCGGGGAGTTTACAGGGGAGGCGATTCTTCATTTAGGTTTCAAGCGATGGCAAAATTTCCACGAGGGTCAAGGAAGCATGTGAACTGGGAAGGAACAGGGAAGGTGGCAGCCAAGACGCAAAGCGGGAGTGAGAAGAGATTATTTAGAGGCTTGTGAGGATGACAGAGTGACTGGTACTGAGCCTTTTCAAGGTGACGTGGTTCCTGCCTGCTCATCCTGACAGTGTGTGAGAAGACCTCAGAGAGACACAGATGGACACACGGACATGCTCACACACAACGCACAGAGGAGATGGCCCTTCCTCCATGAGCTGAAAAGGAAAGCGTTTTTAAAATAGATAAATTGCTTCTTAATTATTCCCAGATTATCTGCATTGCAGCTTATCTCCAGCAAAGCCTGCTTCCAGCTTGCCTGTGGCACTGTCCCCTCCCGTGCTGAGGTGCTTGTCCCTGTCTCTGTTTACAACCCAGAGCTGGAAAGACAAGGTTAAGCATCTCTCCTCATAAAGCAGAATGTGCCCTTGCCTCTGGGCGTGGAGGTGGAGGAGGGATGTTCCCGTGACTTAGGCACTTGGTGACCTTCAACACCAGGACTTGACCATGGCTCTCTGGTGACTCCAGGGCTGTCTCCAATGGGCTAGGCATCCACAGCGTCTTCATTTATTCATTCAGCTTGTGTTTACTGGCACTATCGATGCAGAAAACTCAGCCTGAGCATTCCCAACTACAAAGGTAGAACCAGGACTAGAATCAGTGGCTCTCAGTGGAGGTGCTGCTGTCGTTTGAAGTGTGCCTTCAACACTCACCCAGAGGGACTCACACAATGACCACAGCAGTGACTGAAGCACAGCAGAGTTTGTGAGGCTGGCTCAGGATCTGGTCATATCCTATTCTGTTGCCCAAAGGGTCGCTGTAAGCCGAAGCCAGCTCAGTGACTCCTAACAGCAGCAGCTAAGTATCTGAGTGCTGCTGTAACAGAAGTGTCTCAAGGGAGTGGCTATGAAGAACAGAAATGTGTCTTTTTCTCATAGTTCTAGAGGCCAGAAGTTCAAATCAGAGTCTTGGCTCAGTTGGTCCCTTTCCCGTCAGCAGCGCTTGGTATTCTTGGTTCTTTGGTGAACATCATGTGGGTCTGTCTTTGTCTGTGTCTGATCAGATCGAGGAAGGGATTGGATGTACAACAGCCCTAAACCCTACCCTAAGTCCTGTGCCAATCGCACTGTCTCTGACACACCCATCCCGATTATCCCAGTCACCGAATCAATCCACCTCATAGAGGGCCTTCCTCTCCTGTGCTGTCCCTCCACCCTACCAAGCATGATGTCCCTCTCCAAGGACTGGTCCCTCCTTCTGACATGTCCAAAGTTTGTTAGACGGAGCCTCAGAATCCTTGCATCCAAGGAGCCGCCCAGTTTAACCCTTTCCAGGATGAATCTGTTTGTTTTCCTAGCAATCCATGGTACCCTCAATACTCTTCTCCAGCACCACAACTCAAAGGCATCAATTCTCCTTCTATCCTCCTTGGTCATTGTCCAACTCTCTGATGCATAACAAGTGATTGCAAAGACCATGGCCTGTATCAGATGCTCTAATTAATGGAAACTCTGTTTTCAAATAGGTAGAAGGGTTAGGATTCCAGCATGTAGTTGACCACTAGGTGGACACAATTTAGAACAGGGTGAATTTGTTATCTATGATGAGGAGTCTTGGCAGGATGGTTGCAAATTTGGCACTGCCTGTAACAGGCCAGTTGTTGTTAGGTGCTGAGCTGTCCTGTCAACTCTGACTGATAGTGATGCTGTGAACACAAGGTCTGAACGATGCCTCACCCTGTGCCATCCTTATCATATCCCATATGCCCAAGCCCATTGTCACAGTCACCGACCATCCATCTTGTTGAGAGTCTTCCTCTCTTTCTCAGACCCTCGACTTTTCCAGGATGATACCTTGTTTCCAAACCTGGTATTCTTGTTAGGTGCCATCAAGTCAAGCACAACTCAAAGTGACCCTAGGAACACCAGATCTGAACCCTCTATCCTGTGCCATCTTCAGAGTCTCTGACACAATCGAGCCCACTGCTGTAGTCACTGCGCCAATCTACCTGGGTGAGGGTCTTCCTATCTTTCACCATCCCTCCACCTTTCTAAGCATGGTGTCCCTCTCCAAGGAATAGCCTCTCCAATGAGCATGTCCAAAGTGTCCCTTTAAAAACTCAGTTACTGCTAGTAACCGCTCTGTCGTGATCCTTAATCAGATGAGCCAAGGAAGGTGGTATCATTCCCAGTCAATGACCACAGGGCTTGATATCTGAGATTGCTTCCCAATCTGAAATTCTCTGGTCATTTTTGTGACTAGGCCTAATGAAAACAAGCAGAAGAAAATTGCTGAAAATGTGACAATTAATCAGACTTGTAGGCACATCTTATTCAGACACGAGGGACTGTGTGACAGTAGCAGATAACATCTACTGAACAGTTACTGTGTTTCCTTAGGATTCTCTCAAGGAGATCACATTAGCCACTGCTTCAGATCATCTGCATCCTCTAACACGCCACCTGCATTTCAGAGCGCTGATCTTCCTGCTGTTTTGCTTCATTTATCATTTGCAGAGTTCAGATCTAAAATTATCACCATAGGGGACTCGGTGGTATGATGAAAACAAGCAGCCTTGGGTAGACTCCCTCCCTTGTGCTGAATATGGAGTTCTTTCTCCCTGTGCTTCTGGACTTAAGGAACTTTAGAAACCTGGCACTCTGTCAGAAGCTGTGAGTTTGCCTTTATGGCAAAGGGCTGAGTTGAAAAAGTTGGTTTTGGTGTTTTTTATTCTTCCCAGTTGAGTCCTTTCCCTGTAATTTGAGTCAGCTGCCACACGGGGGAGTCAGGACATGATTGGACTGTGCTTTAAACGGTTGTATTCCTTCAGTCCTATAGATTAATATGGCTCTGTTGTTATAGTCCTAAATGTCCTTGATTTTCTAGATGGCAGTATCATTCCTTTGTAATTTCACTGTTATATGTGTTTATGCCCCCTACGTCTAAAGAAGAGATACAAATGTGATTAACTCAGTCTGTGGTGAATTTTATTGTAACATGGTCAAAGACATTTGTGAAAAGAAGGAAAGACGGGCTGATGTGGGAAAAAAAGAGATGATTGGTCCTTTTTTCCCTGCCTACAACTACTTATGCTTCACCCTCACCCTTTCCAGCTCCTGCTGACGTGTGTGTGAGCGTGTGTGTGTGTGTGTGAGAGAGAGAGAGAGTGAGTGTGTGTGTGTGTGTGTGTGTGTGTGTGTGTGTAGATGATGTACCTGATGAATTTCCAAAGGTCAGAGCTAGTAATTCCCACCCACTGTTTGCACCCACTCACCTTTGAGCAGCAGGCGTTCGTGTGAAGGTGCACCTCTTGCAGGTCTTATCAAATCAATCCGTCTTCTCCCTTCTGGCAGGGGAGCGCTGCTCGAAGCGGGAGGGTGGCTGGCCAGTGCCAAGTCCGGAATCCCCTGAGCAAGCAGTGTTTCAGCTGGCTGGACAGATCAAATAACACTTGGGCTGGTTAACAAAAGACATGCAAGTGGGAAGGTGTTGGAAGCCAGAGTGTGGAAATTTACCCAACGTTATTTCGTTGACAGGGAAGGAGACTCGGTCTGAAGGATGCTGTGCTCCTGCGCCCTTCCTGGGTCCAGCAGAACTGAGACTTGCTCCAGGTGCTTTGGATGAGGGAGAGGAAGAAGACGCTGTCTGATGGATGCAGCTGGAGGATCCCAGCCTGACAGCTGAGCTCCCCTAGGCTCGAGACTTCAGGTGCAGCTTGGCGTGGAGCTCATGAAGGTACTTGGGTTTCTGCAACATCCTCACCTGGGCTCCCCAGCCTGGCTTGGCTTTCAGAACCTAAGGTGAGCTGGTAGAAAGGGAAGCCGGCAGAGGTGGAAAGCAGTCCCTGGGAGCTTCTCGGGTCCCTGGACAGTGTCTCTTTGTGCTGCTCCGGATGCAGGAGACAGCCAGGCAGCTGGGGACTGGGGTATCATAGAGCTTTGGACCATCTTAAGGCAAAGAGACACAGTTCAGCAAGCAGTTCTTGCATTTGGCTGGAAGGACTCTGTCTTAGCAGGGGACCAAAGGGGAGCAATTCTGCAGCTTTCACACTGAGCTCTATACTGTAGTTGAAAACTTTACATTCGCCTCGATCATGGTTCTTTTTCTTCCAAAGATGTTCCGTTTGAAAGAAGCATGAGCCATTCTAAGGTTCAGGAGTGTTCAGGTTATGTGGGGGGTGGTGGGAAGCCCACCTAGTGTAGGTGAGGAAGTAGTCAGTGCCCCCAACTTCTGCGGCTCAACAAACGTGGACAAATACCCTTCTTGCCCCCTAGAGCTGATGCCAGTGACATCACCAGGAGACACAGCATTCCTCAGCCCTGGGACTTGACAGAATGAGGTGTGCTGGGCAGGCCACCAGCTGGGACCTGGCATTTCCTGACTGCGCCTTCACTGCACGGGCAGCCCCAGACCACTGAGCCAGTCATGGCTGAGAAGGGTGACTGCCTAGCCAGCGTCTACGGGTATGACCTCGGCGGGCGCTTTGTTGACTTCCGACCCCTGGGTTTCGGCGTCAATGGGCTGGTGCTGTCAGCTGTGGACAGCAGGGCCTGCCGGAAGGTGGCCGTGAAGAAGCTGGCCCTGAGCGATGCCCGGAGCATGAAGCACGCCCTCCGGGAGATTAAGATAATCCGGCGGCTGGACCATGACAACATTGTGAAGGTGCACGAGGTGCTGGGACCCCAGGGCACCGACCTGCAGGGTGAGCTGTTCAAGTTCAGCGTGGCCTACATTGTCCAGGAGTACATGGAGACGGACCTGGCCCGCCTGCTGGAGCAGGGCACACTGACGGAGGAGCACGCCAAGCTGTTCATGTACCAGCTGCTGCGTGGCCTCAAGTACATCCACTCCGCCAACGTGCTGCACCGGGACCTGAAGCCCGCCAACATCTTCATCAGCACCGAGGACCTGGTGCTCAAGATCGGAGACTTCGGCCTGGCGAGGATCGTGGACCAGCATTACTCGCACAAGGTGGGTATGGCCAGGACGGCTCACCCAGGGGGTCCATGGAATCTTCCAGAAGGCACAGTGTTCCAGAGGTTATTATTACTCATGCCTTGGAATCAGGGCATCCGGTCAGTACTGGGGTTGAAGCTGGAGGGGGGTGGGAGGATCCTGCAAAAGGTACTGGTAGAAAGAATATGGTCTTAGCCTTGTCTGTCACAGGCCGTGACTGGAAATTCTGGGCCATACAAGGAGGGGGTTGGGCTAGGTAATCTTGTGTCCTTTCAGCCCGAAGCTCTGTGGCTTTAAAAAAGAGAGAACTGTTTAAAAGGGATATATGATTAGGTATTATTGTCATGACAGGAGTCCAGAATGAAGGCTGCATAGTGGACGGACTGGACAGGGGGTGTAATAAAG